TTTTTCCAATTCTTTGGCAATTGCGTGGATGGAATCAATTAAACCACGTGAGAGTAACACGATGAGGAGCAGTTAGGTTTCTCCTCTACCCAAAGGTTGATGCAAAGACGCGGTCCATAAGATCTGTGAGATCTAATCAAATTTTCATTATTTCTTCCGATTCGTTACTATTCGTGCATTTCCTGGATTAATTATTCATGGGTATTTTATTAATTGAGTATCAACGGTCGAATATTTAATTTAATCTGATAACCCACTGCCACGTTAATTAAATTGAATCCGTAATTTTTCGTTTAGTTGACAACTAGTGGCAACCACCATAATTGATTTTATGTTGGGGAAACGTAAGATCTAGTTTAAGTAAACCCTCTTAGCGTATTTATTGGTTAGGGTTGGGTTCTTCTAGTTTTAATGCAACTGAATAATTAAATTCCTACGGTAGTACCTAGGGTTGTTTTCTGGTTAGAGAAGCAGTTAATGGTCGTACCTTGATTATTAAAAAAGTAAGGAAGAACTGGTTGTCAGAACTTGTTGATAGCTATAACAAACTTGGTGACGAATGAATGAAGTATCTTTGCATCGATGATCATTTAATTGGACCGTGCCTGAAAAGTTGATCATTTGGGTAGAATTTTATTAATTGCTATTTTTAGTAAATTGTACTTGTTGAGTTAGTTTTTGAATTTTGTTTATTTTATTCTCATTCTTATTCCATTAAATATCCCCCAATTCTGTTTTATTGATTTGGAAAGAAATAACTTTCTACCCGTTTCCTGTGGAATCGACCCTGCTTGCCACTGTCTGCTAGTTAGTGGGTTTAGTCAAATAATTAATTCTGATATATCGGATTAAGCAAATTTTTCGGGAACATGGTGAATTAAGTAACCCATTGCGCAACTAGAGTCCCTACTCCAGTACTTAGAATTGATTATTGACTACTTTTGGTGGTAGTTAGGTTATGTTATTATTATTGCACCTCTCATATGATTTTAAAGCTATATATAACGCCCTCATAATTTGGATTAAAGTGTCAAAATGACAAAATTTGCATTCCATAATATAGTCAACTAAAATGTCAAAAATGTCTCTATGTAAAGTTGAAAATTATTTATTAACCACAGGCGTTTATGTATATGGTTTGAAAACTATAAGGGGATTATATGCTAAAACAATAAATCATAAAGGGATTTTATGATAAACTATAAAATCATACAGAGTTAGAGTGTCATGCATATTATGTTTATATATTTTGGTTGCTTCAAACATTTTAGTTATTAAACAAGGGTAATTTGGATATTTTCATGAATTCTATTGCAAATGATAATTTTCGTCATTTTGACACTTTAATTTAAACTATGAAGAGGTTATATATAATTTTTGAAACTATAGAGGGATTATATAAAAAATTGCTCAACGATGGGGGTAAAGTGTATTTTGCCCAAAACAGTACTGCTAGATTCAAACTGATGGAATCCTCTATGGATTGAAATTGTAAATACCCTTTTTCCTTTGACAGGACGAGACTTTCTTTGTAAAGGATTCGATTCTGCAATTACTTAACTCGAGCTGAATTCATGTTGCTCCATGAACTTTCAAATCAAACTCGATAACGATGCAGTCTACTCTTTTTTTTTTATAACAATGATGACATTTCTATAATTTAATTTATCCTATTCTACTCGAAGGGGAACTTAATCTATCCTATTCTACTGGGAGGGGGAGCCTAAAAAGCCTAGGCTACTCTTTTTTTTTTTTACAACAAAAATAACATTCCTATAACCTAATCTATCCAATTCTATTATAAGGGGCTAGCAGACATACAGATCTAACTGGACCAATGGGGTGTTTTAACACCTCCTTTGAATTTTTTTCACTACAAGTAGGATTTGAACCCCTGACCTATAAGCCAAAGAGGAATTTAGTCCTTTTTTGATAGCCACTGAGCTAAGAACAATGCCATTTTCTCAAAACCATTAAAACTATATTGAACGGAGTTTGGGGCAAGGACTATTGTAGGTGGCAACACTTCGGAAAGGTTGACGGCAATGATTTGGTTTAAAAAAAATTTAAGGATCAAATCTCATCTTGTGCATGAATTTTAATATCATATATGAGGTCCACAAAATTTTGTTCTATATTTATAAGTTGTTGAAAGAAAATTACATTCTAAACAAAGTAAGTTACATCTTGTGCAAATGAAACAAAATCGGTCCGAATGATTTTTTTGACAATCATTTGGACCCTTGGTCCATGGTGAACTTATTACAATATATAGAGACCTTCTCTTATAGACTATATATCACTGTACACCATTACACTGATAATTGAGTTTGACTTGTGAGGCCGATAACTGTGGTCCGTAATAAAACTTTCATAAGACGTACTTGGTTTCTGAAATGTTCTTCACATTTCATCAAATAAAATTTTTCATTCTTCACTTTTAAAATGAAATTTTATGTTTCATATAAAATCAAATTAGTAAAATTTAGTTGCAATCTAGATTTTTTACCTCTTTTTACCGTGAATCCATCCTGTGACCCATATGCATTCATTATTTTATGTATGGAAAGGTTGATCAGTTGCATGATGAAAAATGATCCACAATGTACAAGGAGAGTCTCTGATGCCACATCATACATTTGCACTTGTTAGTATAAAAAAATCTTTACATTGATAATATATACAATATTAATCTTATATATTTATTAATTCAAAGAATTATTGGATTAGAAAACTTAATGTGCATTCAGATACATAGATCAAGAAAATAAAATAAAAAGTGCAACGACAATTGCATATCTTTCATATTGTAGGTTTCGAGCAAATATGTCTTGATCGGGTTAAGGTAGTTGGTTTTGATATAGATTTGAATCAACTATCGTAATATAGAGGGCAAAGGTTATGGTTAGATTAGTAGATGACCTTATATTCTTTTCAAGTGGTCTACTTGAATTTGTTTAATAAGATTGAATCCAGATAGAGGATGAACTACATTCAACACAGGATATGGTGATGTTGAATTAGAGTAAACTAAAATTTAGAAAAGACTTCACTTAAAAGTAGCAATAGACTTTGTTTTAGCAAACCTTAGGAGAGATAAATGTAGTTGATTGAATATGTTTAGAATAATAATATACCATCCAAATCTATTTTCAATTGAGGTACCACATATGTTACATTTATGCATTCAAATCTACCAATTGTGATGCTTAAACAGCAACTTCTTGATCATATAGTTGGGTTTCTAATTTTTTTTAATGCTTTGAGGGATAATTTCTAAAAGTTAGTTTTTTTAGGAGTACAATGTCCTTTTTCTTTTTTTTTTGAAATATAAATTCTAGCCATATAGATAAGTGAGTTTGCTTCAGTAATCTTTCATTAGAATACACTGACAATGAATTTCAATGATTTTCTTATTGTCCCATTCATCAATAGACTTCTAATTACCCTTTGGACTATTTACATAATACTAGCATTGAGTTATTCTTGCAATATTGCTCATAAGAGGGACAAAACGAATATGACTCTCTACTTTGTAAGTTAATTTGTTTGAACTTCAAGTTAATATTTTAAGTAAAGGATAAAAGTAGCTTGATAAGTATATAGTCTGTATTTGAGGCTTACAATGTTTTAGCAAATGCTGGGTAATCCCCTTACTAATCAAATTCAATGATCAATTACTAATTGATTTTCTAGATAAAGTGACCATATCCTTTAGTTAAGCATTAAGAGATGAGGCAAACCTATCATTGGAGAAGACCTTAGAATAGTTGGTGAGGTGGTAAGGAGGTTTTCCTAATTTTTCCTTAATAAGATTTTTATTCCTCTTTTTTCTCAAAATAAACTTTTTGGCTTTGGTATTCTGGCTATTTGAAACATTTGCAAGTGACGTTCCATGAAAACTGCATTAGAGTTTACTTATTCGAGATAAGGCAAATAAATCACTCACATGCAGTCACATATTTGTTGAAAAAATTCTTAAAAGAGGAGCAAAATAATGAGTAATCTTTAACAATAAGAATAACAAGCGTGCTAACATGTTAGTAACTAATTACTCAAGAAAAAAGAAAGAAAATTTGTTAATCTATACTAAAAATTAGGAATCGCATTTTTTTTTTTACTTGGAGACACTAGAGATAGTTAGTGAAAATTAATTCTGGATCAATGAACTTGGTGTATTGATGTTTTAGTTTAAAAATTTTCCTTCTTTTTATTGGTTAAATAGTTAACAAATGAGTTATTAGTTCTTAATTTTATTGTTTAAAGTTAGCTACTATTTTGCTTCTTTATTTTAAAATTTAATTTAATAGGCACATGATTAGACATGACTAAATTTTGTTAGTAATTGAGATAAAATTCTTCAAATGTCCTAAATCAACTTTAAATTGGATATAATGGGAACCGGATTTGCTCTTGCTAAAACTTTATGGACTAGAACTGCACATGTACTAAATATTGAGGATCATGATTGTTTTTGTTAAAACTTTAGGGACTAAAATTGCATATGGACTAAATATTAAGAATTAAAACTACATTTTTTTTTTCAAAAATGGAAAATTTATACCTACAAAAAAATTAAAAGTGGCATTCAGCAAATACAGCTTTTCAACAAATAGGATTGGTTGATTTCATATTAACTTTCAAAGACTTCTCTCATTGTGAGAGGAAATTTCTCTGTGCTCTAGAGAGAGAAAATCTGTGGCACCCCCACTTCTCCCTAAGGCGAACCAAAGGGTATCCACGGGACGCCTGCCTAACTCTCGCCAGGACTCAAGCAATTCCATTTCAACTTATAGCCGGACCACACAATACAAGCCAATAACTTAGATACAATAAATACGGAAGCGTTCAAGCTTAATAATCGTCATCCATTATTCAATCCACACGTCGGTATACAAAATACATTTCGCCCCAAAAGTTACATTTCCATACCCAAAAGTACAATCCAAAACCAAAGGTATAACCAAGAGTAATAGCAAACCCTAAACAAAAGTACATTAGGAGGGTTTCTCCATTTCACCTCCGAGTTCAAACCTGTTAAGGAAAACAAATCTACAGGGTGAGCAAAACGCTCGTGAGGCCAAGAACACACATGCAGGCACATAGCTCAGGTAACAAGCCCAATTTACAATTCAAGTAATAATTTGAAAGCAATTAATAATGCCAACAAAATGTAACCAAAAACAATTCAAGAATATAGTAGCTCTCAGGAGCTAAGTTCCACATTTTGCCGATGTCATTCGTATATCTCCCCGTGATGACTCTCCGTCACTCGGGTTGATATTTTCATATCCGTAGTTCACCACTTACTTCTCATCCGTCCACCATACACCGCTTCGGGCCCGCACGACATTTATAAGGCGATACTACACGAGTATGCCAAGCGAGATCTCTCAATAGATCAAGCTTATCCTGTGAATCTCATGGCTCACCGAGGTTCTCAACCAAGCCCATGCCGGCTCGAGTTCCAAGGTCGGCCTATGAATTTGGGCGTCCCTCGTGTATATGTAAGTGTCAAGGAGGTTCACTCCAATGACGTATGCAATCATAGCATACTATGTCATGTATTCAGGTATTTGACAGTTTTAAGCAGTATTTCAAGTCATGTAAACCAGGTAAATCATATTAAGCATGAATCATTTGTTTCAAATGAGAACGAGTGCGATAAAGTACACACTCGACTCCATTTTCAAAGAATCAAGTAGGCTAAGCATGTAATCAAGACCATAGAGTTCAAGTAGTCAAACACTTGACACTCACCAAGATATGCAAGCAAGTAGGTTGGATTGAGAGTTCAAACTTCCACGGTAGGGTCCTCTTGGAGGTCCTCGTGCGTGCCTGAACATTGAATAGTAGACAATTACTATAGGTCCCCAAGTGGTGTGAAAGGTTGAACACGAGTAGGGTTCGGAAGTATTTTGAAATTTCGTTTAAACTTGTCTTTGAAGTTGGATTCTCGAAAAGGTACGAGACTCGAGTAATATCGGATTTTTATTTTTTTTAAAATCATTGGATGGAAACGAGTACGTGCGAAACGATTGCAAAACGAACGATCGAAATCGGAAGGGGGATGGCCACGTCACAATCCGGCCGGAACCTGGCCGGATATCCGGCCGGATTTCTGGCCGGATTGGAGGCAGTGGCTAACCTCCCTTTTTTTCAAATTTTACCACCAATCCGGCCGATAATCCGGCCAGAAACTGGCCGGATTCTGGTAGAATAGTTCCCATGCAGATTTCCTTTGAAATTTCAGAATTTTTCGATTTTTGGTCAAATTTTTGAAAGATCATAACTTCTTTTCTACTAGTCAAAAATTGATAAACTTGGTACCGTTGGAATCGTCTTTGAAAGTACTAAAAGTTCCTAGAAGACACTGTTCCACGAATCTAAATGGAAGGTATTCAAAATGAGTTTAAAGTTGCTGTCCCAGATCACCCAAGATTGAGCCGGGGTTGGTTTTTTGCTAACTTTGGAAATTCGGCAGAATTCACTCATTGCAAACCAGCCCTTGAAATTTATAGCTCAATTAGAGGTGCAAGTAAGGTTTAGGGCAGAACAAATGGATCGAGAATCGGAGTTTCGAGCACCAAGATATGGTAGCTCAAAGTTGGGAAAAATTCAAGACTGTTACAAAATTTTCAGATTTGGTTCCGACTTTGGACCTTTTGTTAAGTGTCGAAACAGACTTGAATTGACACCAAATTTTGTAGTATGGTACTCCTATATGAAGGGTATTTCTCTATCAAATTTCGTGGAAAAATACCTTCGGGAAGGTGGTTAACCAATCAACCAAAGTTTGGAAAAATTCTCAAGGCAATCTGCCCTTAATCCTTTTCTTCCCAAATCCAATCGTTTGGCTAAGAAAATCCTCCAATCATGGTTCATATGTGAAAGGAAAGTTTAAGAAACATTCATGGTACATTTGGTAGGTGTTTAGTACCAAGAAATTCATTTAGTAAGACCACCACAAATGTCACGTCAAATCTGTCCAAATCCAAGGCTTTCAAGAACAAAACAGTCACCGTATCTTGATCATAACTCACTCAATTTAACTCGGATTTGAGCATGGTTGATAGTGTTAGAAAATACATGCATAGGGATATAATTTCACAGAATAAATCGTTTTAAGTTTCAGCATGCAACTAGCTCGAAATTAAGCCTAAAGTTGCAGCATCATCAAATCATTTCGGCAGAACGGCGAAACAGGGCAGCTGAATTCAGATGAGTGGTGCGGTTCACACACATCGAACCAGAACATGCATTATATACCGTTGGAAAGATGGGAACATCTAGTTTCAAATTCCGCTAACGGCACTTGATTTCGACGTCGGAGTACGGAGTTATGGACGAAATACGAACACTGGTCTGGATTACGACGAAACCGTTTTCCAGATTACTAGCTTTGGGAATAAATTCGTTTGACCAACCAAAACTCAGTATTTTTCAATGAAAATTTTTACACAACTACTACAACATATAAACAACACAATCAAGCCATTAAATCCTCAAATTTCTGCATTAAAGTGACCGAACAAAGCAGGGGTAAAATGGGAACTTTTTGCTTCAAGAGCTCAATGAAGTTTCTGGCGATAATGCACCTTTAATCTACTCCCTTAAACACTAATTCAACAATAAAACCATCATCAAACATCATCACAGCCATCAACTCAAAGTGGGAGTTCATAGAGCCCACATTTAACAATTTCTAACAATAATAAGCTACCCATAAGCATAATCAAGCTCTTAAGTGTGAGTTGGCCTTCAATGAACAAGATTTGAAGAGTGGATCATGGTTACCTTACTTGTGTGCTAAAAGGTCAGATTTTGGTGTCCAAAAGCCCCAAGAAAAATCGTGAATGTGCAGCTCCTTCTTTGTCCAAGTGATTGTCCAAGTGAAGAGCTAAGTGTGTGTGAAGTTTTGGTTGAATTTGGTGGAGTTTGTAGAGGAAATGGTGGAAGTTTTCGGTTGCTCTTTGCTGCAGTTGCTAGCCGTCCATGAAGCTTGCAGATATGAATGTTAGTCTGATTCCTTTTTGCGTACAAAGAACGCCGACCGTCTAATATTTTAAGTACGTAAAATTTAATTGCAACTAGTGCCCTACTCGCGCGTTTTGTGTTCAATTTCCCTTAAGTTTGTTGCACTAGTGCACTAAACCTCTAGGGCACTTACATTCATATAAATATTATTCATTCTTAATTGTCCCAAAATAATTGTCCAAAGTCCCTCAATTAAGCGCGCACGTGAAAACACGTATTTCCAATTTAGGCGCAATAAAATGAAACCTTCGAGAAATTCTTATAACGATCGTACCACTAGCTATCACTTGTGTGCTTAAACCTAAAATTGTCTATTTTAGGACCATTGTATATGTCTCAAATTTTTGAACTTATTGTACTCCCAATTGGCCAAAGTTTTCAGACACGTTTTCACTTTTCACTAATCAGGCTTTTTTTTTAAAAAAAATAATTTTTGAAATGAAATACTTTAAAAATATAACGATACTATAAATCATGTACTTAGGTCCAATAAGGCTTAAAAAAATATTATTCGTGACAAAAATCCAAATAAATAATTAATTTAGCCAAAATTAGGGATTTTTAAAATAATAGAATTTTCGAGTCCTCACAAAATCCCCCTTTTGTCGGTGTTCATACTTTTCATACGTTTCGCACTTTTCCCAACAAAATTCAAAATCCTGATCTATCAGCTCTTGGCGCCATGAGTAACAACCTTCCATTAATAGAAACTTAACGATTCCTTCCTTCCATTAATGGAAACGTACCGATCTCAGCATTTCTTCTGGAATAAGCTTTGGATGCTCTAATGATGGCAGCCAGATCAATCGTTCTCTTTTAGTTTCGTTTTGAATAAAAAGCAGTCGTTGCTGATTTTATTTCTTTTGCTTCAAGTTTTATCCAGTAGAGCTAGGTTCGTGTTTAATTTCGTTCTGTGTGTTTTGATTGTTTGTTTCAGGACTGGTTGGTACTGGTATTTGTTGGCGACATTGAAGGACGCTGAATAGCTCCTGGCCTGGCCTACTCTGGAAGCTTCCTGTGATTTCCAGTGAGAGGTCTATGGGAAGGACAATGGAAGGTATCGAGGAGGTTTTACGCAGATTCAGGTTGTCAGAAAAGGAAAGAGTATGAGTCCAGTTAGAGGAGGGGGAAGTGGCAACATGTGTATTAGAATGTAAGCAAAGTTTAATAGGTAAAGTATGGGGAAATTAACCGGCTCACATAGGTGGAGTTAAGAGCTTTGTGCACAGTATGTGATCTCGGGTGAAGCACTTAAAAATAGTGGAGATTGGGCGTAATATGTTTCAGTTTATATTTGATAAGGAATAGGATATAGAGGTGGTGTTGAACAGGAGGCCATGGATCTATGATGGACAGCCTTTAGTGTTGTTGCGATGGGAACTTGGATTGGAGGAAAATGAGGAAATGCTACGTAAAACCTTAATCTGTGTGCAGATCTGGAACATACCTTTGCATTGGGCAACAAAGGAAGCTGGTAGGAAGATTGGGAGTATATTCCAACAGGTGAAGGAGGTGATTATTCCACAGAATGGAGGTAAGGAAGGTAAACACCTAAAGGTTCTAGTTGAAATTGATCTTTCCACCCCCTACCTAGAGGTGTTATGGTAAACAGTAATGGTATTAAGAGATGGATTGAATTCAAATATGAGAAGTGTCCAGATTTTTGTTTTGGTTGCGGTTTAATTGGTCATGGTTAAAGGATTTGTAGCAAAAGAGGATTGGATACTGAAAAGGCATCACAATATGGGAACTAGCTGAGAGCTAGTTACCCTAGAAGTCCTAACAGGAGGAACAGGTCTGAAAATAGGAATGAGGATAGGGGAGAGGAAGGGAGCCATAATCATGATAGTAGGGAAGTGAGGAGGGAGGGGGAACAATTTTTACTAACATACACTGATGATTTCCATAAGAAGGAGGATCTCAAGCACACTGTCTAGGTGGAGTTGATTGGCGACAGTGGAGCATTGATGGGGGGTAGAGAGGGGATGAAGAGGGGATCTGCTGAGATTGGGGAGGGGAGAGGGAAAGGTAAACAGGGAGAGGATGGATTAGACAAGGAAGGGACAAGGATTATTGAGGTAAGGAAGGGTGATGGGAGGAAAGAGAGGCAAGGAGTATAGTAGGAGAAGGAATGCTCAGAAGTAGGGGTAGGGGACTTAGCTGATTTGATGTGGATTGATGGAGTAAGGGGTAAGGGAGGTGAGGATAGTGCTGTGATAAAGGGAACAGGAGGGAAGGAAGAAGAACTGGTAACTAAGGGAGAGGAGGAGAGAGGAAAGGGGGTAAGCAGAGAGGAAGACCAAAAGGGAACCATTCTGTAAGCAAGAGTTGGAGAAGGCTGGTATTGGAGGTAAGTAAAAGGAAGCCACTGATTGAGGCAAACAGTGAGCTTACTGACAATAAGAAGGGGAAAAGGAAGGTAGGAGCTTTGGGAAGCGAGGGGGAATGGACTTAGCAGAGAAGGAAAACTGGAAAAGAGCTAGAACTAAGAGTGGATCCTGTGATTGGATGGAAGTAGCTGAGGGATTGGAGTCCTCCATTAACAGGACTCCAACAATCAAATGAAGGCTGTGGTGTGGAACTGTCGAGGTGTTGAAAGCCCCTTGACAGTTCCCCAACTGAGGGAGGTCGTGAGACTCCTCTCCTTCTTTAGTATTCTTATCAGAAATAAAAAAGAAAAAAGTTACCTGAATAGTGTGATGCAATGGATTAGGTTTGACAAGGTATTTGTGTTTGATCTAGTTGGCAGGGCAAGGGGTTTGGTTGTGATTTGAAAGTAGGAACTGAGGGTGAAAAGGATGTTATTTACCAGTTTCACCATAGAACTGCTAATAGAGGACACAGAATTTGGTTTTGATTGGTGGTGCATATGTGTATATGCCAGTTCAGATGTAGGAATCAGGAAAGAACAGTGGAATGTAATTCACAGAAGAAGTGCTATATAGGGGGAGCATTGGGCAATCATGGGAGATCTGAATGACATTACTTCTAATAGGGAAAAGTGGGTAGGTAATCTGAGAGCTGAGGTGAGGTGCCAAGATTTTAACTCCTTCATCAACAACAATGAACTAGTGGACATTGGTTTTGAGGAAGTTCCTTGGACATGGTGTCATAACTGGGGGAATGAAGGAGAGGTAAAAGAGAGGTTCGATAAGATTCTAGGAACAAAGGAATGGATACGGAAGATAGATAAGGCAAAGTGTTTGCATGTGGGAACTAAGGCTTCAGATCACTGCATGTTGGTGTTGGATACAAATCCAGGGGGGAGGAAGTGTAAGAAAAGGTTTATGTTTGACAGAAGATGGTTACTGAATAAGGATGTAAAGGAGGTAGTGGGGAGAGCTTGGGGAGAGCACACAACAAGGATCCAGGCTATATACGGTTCAGTGTAAAATAAAAAAAGTAAGAATGAATCTCCTGAGCTGGAGTAGAAAAAGCTTCAGTAACTCTAAGAAATTGATAGAGCAGGTTAAAAATGAAATAGAGAAGGTTAAGTTGAATAAGCTAAGTGGCTTTAGGATTAAACTATTGGGGTTGAAGAGGAAACTGGCTAATGCCTATAAAAAGGAGGAATTATTTTGGAGCCAGAAGGTAAGGCTAAAATGGTTAAAGGAAGGGGACAAAAACACTGGTTATTTTCATACTACTGTGGTTGGTAGGAGGAAAGCAAATAGGCTTAGAGCATTGAAAAGAAGGAATGGGGACTGGTGTAGAAGTGCGGAGGAATCTAGGGAAGAGATTTTAGACTACTTTGAGCAAATTTTCACTTCAGATATCCTAAGGAATTTGCTGAAGTGTTGCAAGAAATCCCACAGACTATCTCAGCTGAGATGAACAGGAAGCTAACCAAGGAAGTCTCAGAACAGGAGATCTATCAGGCAGTGTTTTCAATGCAACCAAACAAATCTCCTGAACCAGACGGTATGTCTCCTTGTTTCTTCCAAAAGTTTTGGCAAATTGTTAAGTCTGATATTGTTCCAACTGTCCAAAGTTTCTTTCATTCTGGTTTCCTTTTGAAATCTATTAATAAGACTCTGATCAGTCTGATTCCTAAACTTGATTCCCCTACTTTAGTCACAGAGTACAGATCTATTAGCTTGTGTAATGTTTCATATGAAATCATTGCTAAAGTGCTAACTAACAGATTTAAAAATGTCCTGAAACATTGCATTAGTGCTTCTCAGTCTGCCTTTGTTCCAGGCAGGCAGATTCTGGACAATGTGTTGATTGCTCATGAAAGTGTTCATTTTTAAAAAAATAAAAGGATTGGAGGGGATGGTTATATGGTTGTCAAGTTAGATATGTCCAAAGCTTATGATAGAGTGGAATGAGTGTTTCTAGCTAAATGGGATTCTATCCTAGGTGGATTCAATGGATTATGGAATGTATTACTAGTGTGACATATTCTGTAAACATTAATGGGAAAAAAACTGGTTTCATTAGACCTACTAGGGGTCTAAGACAGGGGGATCCATTGTCTCCTTACCTTTTTTTTGATCTGTGCTGAAGGATTCTCATCTCTGATCAAACAAGCTAACAGTCAAGGCAATCTGTGACGACCCCACCTCCCCCTAAGACGAACCAAAGGGTTCGGCAGACCGCCTTCCCAACTCTCACCAGGGCTCACTCACATATCACTTTAAGAGCAAGTAAAGATGTGCCAATCAAACTTAACATATATACAATCATTAACACAGATATACAATCCTCAAGGTTAAGTACAAAATTTTAGGATCCAATCAATTACTAATACTATCACTATTACACAACAAAAGTTCTAATCAAAAGTTTAATCTTCCTCTAATCATTCATCCTTGCTCTCAAACCCTGTAAGGAAAACAAATGTAATGAAATAGAGGGGTGACCTAAAGTTCAGTGAGGTTCCTATACACATAACCAAGCAATTAAAACAAGAACATTATTCATTTAATAATAATCAATCGAGAAACATTCACAATATAAAAATAATGAAAACACACTCATTAAAA